CTCTCACATAACCTCCGCCATCCGTGTGTATGTGTGTATGTGTGTTGTTCTTGCCAAATGTAACAGCGTTGCAACAAGACAAGCACCAGAGCACAAGCGCACAACCACACAACAGCACAAGGGCACAAGAAGAAACCCCCATGCCGTCCACACACTCAAAGCAAGGAAGCGTAACGCCTTGCTGTCGTCGAATGCAACGACCCACAGCACAAAGCACACCGGTACATGCACGAAAGGGACAGTAACCTTCCCCCCGAGCGTCCCCCGCCACGCACCCACCTCCCCTCCCCTCCTCATCCACATCCACATCCACATCCTCGTCACCACCACCATTCCCACCCCCCCCCCCCCTCCAAAACACCAAACACCCAAACACGCACCCACGTCAAATCACTCGAGGGAGATTTCCTGATGCAGGGCGAATCGGTGGCCAGGCGGGATGGTGGGCTTGTTGCGCACGCAGCCCGGCTCGACGCAGATCATGTTGTTGAATTCGTTGTCGCCAAAGTCGCCCATGGCCTTGGCCTTGTCCTCCCAAGGGTTCCAGACGACAGCGTCGCAGGGCACGGGCTTCATGGTGGCGGAGGCGTCGTCGCCACTACCGTCCCCGGGGCCCGCTTCTGCCCACAGGCTGATGTGCCGCCACATGCCGCTGCCGGCGTCCAGGGTGAAGGTGGCCTTGCCCTGTGGTGCTGCGCTGCGGAAGATCTTGTCTGTCTCGCCCTTGATGGTGAGGTGCTTGTCCTTGAGTTCAAAGGACTTGAAGTCCTGCACCTTGTCCTCGTAGGTGAGGCCCGTGAGGCCCTCCACGTAGACGACGTTGATGTTCTGCACGCGGTAGTAGGTGTGCAGCAGGGCCTGTGGCTCGATTGGGGCGTCGCCTGTGTTGTGGACGGTGAGGGTGGAGTGGCACTTTGCGTCGTCAAACTCGATGCGCAGCTCCAGCTTGAAGGCGTGGCCCCAGACGGCGCGGGTGCGCGGGTTGTCCTCCAGCGTGAGCACGATCATGCCGTCGCCCTTCTCTGCCACGGTCCAGCGCGAGGTGCGGGCGAAGCCGTGGTTGGGCAGGCTTCCCTCGCCCGCAAATTGCGGGAAGGCGATGGGGACGCCGCCGCGGATGGCCTTGTCCTCTCGCAGCACTGTGTCGCTGGACACGAATAGCACGTCGCCCGTGCCGCCAACCACGACCTTCTCGCCGTCGTCCAGGGGCACCTCTTTCCCGTTCCCGCTCGGGCTTGGCACGAGCGAAGGTGGCGCAGGCGCCGGCATCCACGACAGCAGCGTTGCGCCGTGCGGGTGCACCACAATGGACGCGCCCGTCGCCGCATGCGTCACACGCACGGCCGCAAAGTCCTGTGCTGCCTGGTCGCTCATCTCCAGTGCTTCTTGTTGCTTGCTTTGTTGCGGTCGTTTGTTTTGGTTTGCAATCAATGCTGTCGTGAGGAACGCTTGAGGTGTGGTGGATAGCGCTGCTTCCATAGATTTGTGCGCTCTAAGCGCAAGAAACACGCTGCGAAACATACATTTTTTGTCAAACAGCGACAGAGACAAGACACACGACGACACTGCTCGCCTTTGCCCCCACACACAACACACACCCACACACGCACACAACAGAGTGATAGGAACCGCTGTGAAGACGAGACACACTGACGTGACACAGAAGAGATCTGGTTGGTGATTCAGGCGCATCGCATCGACTTGGCGTTGAACCAACACACGCAGCGCGTATGACTACTGGCTGAGTTTTTGGCAGAGTTCGTCGTGTGATCTTCAGCAACGACACAGCCCTTTGGCCGCCGCTCTTGAGAGCAGGATTTGTTGAGAGCAGGACTGGTGCCAGTAACTACAGCAACAACAACAGTAACAACAACCACAGCGGGGTTGTTACCATCCTTGACTTGGCAGACGCAACTTGTTGGCTGCACCAACACAAGCACTGCTGCTTCTGCTGCTGCCGCCGCTGCGAGGACCCCCCCCCCCACCAAGCAACCTCAGTACACATACCCATAGATAGACACAATGGAGAAGTCGTTCTTTGACGTCGCAGCCTCGGTATGTGTGTGATGTGTGTGATGCGTGCGTGCGCGAGTGCTTGTGATGCGTGTGTGTGATGTGTACATTGGCGTTCGTTGACGCGTGCGTATCGTATCGGTGGCTTTCCTGATGCAGGGCGCTCGCAAGCGCAAGCAGGAACACCCTCTCAAGTACACGTGGCAGTTTTGGTTCTCCAAGAAGGTGCCCCGACAGGTACGCGCTCATGCTAGCCTATGTGTGGGCGTGAGTGTGGGTGTGGGTGCGTCTGCGTTTGAGCGTGGGGTGTGCGAGAGAAGCCGCGTCGCACGTTTCTATGCTCTCACCCTCCACGCTGTTCTGCTGCTCGTGTGTGTTTGTTTTTGATCCACAGCGCTTTGCAGAATACGCAGAGAACCTGAGGACTGTGGGAACGTTCAAAACGGTGTGTGTGTATGTATGTATATGTGTGTGTGTGTGTGTGTGC